ATGATGATGATGATGATGATGATGATGATGATGATGATGATGATGATGAATGGATGACAATGATGATCAAGTCTGATGATATTGATGATGATGATGATGATGATGATGATGATGATGATGATGATGATGATGATGATGATGATGATGAATGTGTTATGTTATCATTGATGATGATGATGACGTAAACTACAAATCTGATGATATTGATGATCATGATGATGATGAATGTATTATGTTATCGTTGATGATGATAATGATGATGATGAATGGATGACAATGATGATCAAGTCTGATGATATTGATGATCATGATGATGATGAATGTATTATGTTATCGTTGATGATGATGATGATGATGATGATGATGATGATGATGATGATGATGATGATGATGATGATGAATTGATCATGATGAATGGAAGACAATGTTATGACACTGATGATCAAGTCTGATAATCCAGTATGATGTTCTTGTATCATCAAGTATATTAAGTATGATGATGGTGATAATGATGATGATTGGATGATTGTTGTGATGATGAGGATGATGAATGCAGCAGTGTTGTATATCTGTAATGGTTTTCTTGTAATTGTATAATTGTCTACAATGTATTGGAAAATTAAAAAAAAAAAAAAAATACAAAAAAAAAAAAAAAAAAAAACCGATGGTTCGAATTGGCCCCATTTTCGTGCTGAAAGACACCTTACCTGTACATGGACTAGAAATTGATATAAATTCCATACGCAAGTATTTCAATTCTGACACAGGGTTTGTTAGTATTTTCTCTAAATAGCAATAGCATCATTTTAAGAGTAGGTAAGATTATGTACGTTTCCAGAATGTATACTTATTCAATAAAAATTAAAATCCAGGTAACCTATGTCAACCTATGTTAAACATGACAAAAGCTTTATTCAGTGTTGTTAAATGTTAAAACTTATCTTTTTACCTAGACACTATTTTATTGTAATAATGTCGTTTGTTGTCAGTGTATGCAAAAGATGACTCATAAAATTTCATTAATCAAGATTTCAATATTTAATATACAGTCTGTACATTATCTGTTTATGTAGTCATATCTAAGATACTGGTTTGCAAAAACAAATATGAAGATTGATATAAAACACCATGCTTGTGATTTCAGTATTACAAGAAGTCAAGCATAGTTAAACTTGGCATTTTGTGTAGTTGTTGTTTAACAATTAATGTAAATCCATATATTATGTCGTCCCTTCAAGTATGCTGTGTCATGCCGTTTTTTCATGTTTTGATTTATGCATTGCCGAACTTTCTTGACAATCTACATTAGTCATAATACTACTTAATATTCAATTCTGCAGCAGTCAAACATGGCTTCTCACTGAATGTTGATATGTGTATCATTGCCATGCTTATGTTTTTTAATTACTATATATGAAATAGATATCTGGTACGTGTTTTGATACATTCTTGATTATCAATTTCACATCCGTTATTTCTGTTGAGGTAAACCTTACGTTATGACTACACTGATGTACCTATGTAAAATGCCTGTTTCTGATAAGTGGCAAGTTAAGCTGTTTAAGTTAAAACTTTTAAATTCACAAAGAAGATGCCAATACATATTCCAATTCTTCAGCCTATACATTGTTGTGACAGCAATAAAGACAAAAAGGAACCTTAACATTAATTCATATTTGTTTTCAGTTATGTTATTTCACTACAGGTAGACGATACATACTTCTGTTTTATCTAACGAGTATACTTCTATAGCTCAATATTAAATTTGCTGCAATGAACAGCAACATGTTCTCTTTTTACTATTATATATTTTTGGTTCGAGAATCTCGACTATGCTATCACACCAAATATGATAACTTTTGCTAATTAATATAACGTCCTCATAAAGTAAAAAAGTTTATTTCCTATAGCTAGACAGCGCAATAGATATGAAGACCGGAACAAATAAATGAGAAATATTTTTTTAAAAAATGATAGCATTTATTAACATGATATAACAATATAAACACACATTCTCACTCACACTTTCAACAAAAACAGTCTGACAAAAAATAAATAAAGGTTCAGTTTGACAAAATGTGAAAAAAACGTTTCTTTAAAATTTTTCTAATATAATTTACTAATCTTTAACTGCTAGTAGATAATACTATGTAGATTATGTCAATAATATCTTTCTGGTACATATGCTACAAAATATCTATATAACTAAGCGTTCACAGGACAACCATCCTATTTATTTTCATACATGTATTCTGCTATATTAAAAACAGACATTCCAAGGTGCGTGCTGATATCTCCTCTTATAGTTGCGGTTGGCTGTAAATGTCCATTGTATCGATTTGGTCATCATCTTTTGCAGATCTTACGTATATACAATAGCCTTGCGATTGGTCAAATACGTTATGTCCACCCAACATATATTTTATATGATAAACACAATTCTGGATTCGTGTAAAACGCTCTGAGATCGGTGAAACTGTTTTAGCTTACCGGAATCCAGATAAACGAATATAACGAAAAGTAAGAGGAACTTGCATTAGAAATAGCCACACGTTAGTCTTTTGATCCCTTTAAATCTATGAACAGTATTTCGTGTTGATTGTCACACAACACCCCCGCATGCTTCTCTTCAGTTGTCGATGTCGTCTACATCAGGTTACATGTATGTTGACGATGGATCTCCTGACGACTATGGACGGGAATATTCAATCCAACCTTTGAGTTTTTCATTTTAATGGGCTCATCTTTAATTTATATGAAAACATGACCGGTAACGTAATCTGAAAAATAACAAGACAAGACTTTAATGACACGTAATATTTTATAGTACATTAAGTTGTACATGAAAATGAATATATTATATTTCAACATGTTATCAGTATCAAAACAATGTCGGTGCAAACATTTACAAAAATATTTTATGTTAGGTGTTGTTGGTATACGTATCTTCATAGTTAAACAATTATGTTGTAATAAGAAATCACATGCCTCATTAATTCTGGGTTTTTGCACATTTTCTTGAGTGCATCTCCGCATGTAACATAGTAGTGTACCAGAAATTTCAAAATGTGTTTTAGTGTTGTTACATATGACAGTTATTATTGTCAGAGTCCTTTAATCCATCGTAATGGTATTCATTTTACACATTTTGTTTCAGTTGTCGAAATGTATGTGCAACCAGTGACAAATATCACAAAAACTATTCATTAGTCGTTGAATACCACAGGAATATATTCCGTTGATAGGAGCTGACCAGAAGAACGCAAGGCAAACATTGTACAAAATAGATATATGAACAGCGCTTGTTCATACAAATTCAGGATTAGGTACCAAAATACTGATTCAACGGCATCTCACAACTGTTTCGTTCTTCTAGGACTCATCAGTGATGCTAAGGTACCAAAATTTTAAACCTAGGTGTGAGAGCAATCGAAAGTGATGGATACAAATGTTAAAATATAGATTGGGTTATTTGTAAGCTCTTTTATTCAATTTCGTTGTCTTCATATATCTAATAATTTCAAAGGAAAGCCGAGTACATGTTTTCATTCTGTACCATGCTGATATTCGATTAAAGTAAATCATGGCATGAAGGTTACGATTACGCTTCGGGATTTAAAGTCCACCTGCACTCTCAAGGATTGTACAATAGACAAACGATTGAATATCACCTTTCAAAACAAAATTTAGAATCAGATACAGTAGCGTCAAATAAGAAAATGAACAGCTTCATACAGCTGTTTCGGCCCTCTAGGATTTGTCAATGATGCTAATGACCCACATTTTGAAACCTTTGAAGCGACTGATGAAAGCAGAATTTAACGAAAGAAATGATGAAATTAAGTTCGTTCAACACAATGAAATAACATATCGGCACATGGAGGACACATTCACGCATCCTAAACATTATAGATATTATCAGGAATTTAGAAATACCCAGAGTTTCGTATAACAGCATAAAGAGGATAAAATCTTATTTATATTGTTGCAGGACGATGTAAATACAAATATTTACATTTAGAATATTAGCATTGTATTTATATTAGGTTATAGGTAAACATTAAAGGGAAGAGAGGGAAAATACTCATTGCACCAACGATCCTAGTTATACTTCTAAAAACATGTACCGTTTTATTATAAGTAGTGTGTGTTGTCTGATTACGGTGTGCAACATTTTAATCAAACGGCACGTTATTTTTATGTATTAGTCAGAGGTTTAAAACATGTGAGTTGCAAAACGAAAGCTTCAGACACAAGTGATGGTAAGTCAAAAGGCGTTGGGAAAACCTAGAAAGCATAAAAGGAATGTGAAGCATCGTTGTATTGTGATTTCAATAGAAGGCTAAAACAAATCAAGAATTGAACAAAGCGTGTAAGGGTTAACAGGTATTTCTGTACGCAAACGATGGACATGTTAAAGTCTATCCATGCCTTACCTCATTCAGCGGTGTCTATGTCCTGTTGGCAAATATGGTATCTTAAGATTATGCCAGTACATGAAAATGAGTGGATTTTTTTTTTGTTTAAGCAAAATTCAGTATATTTGTTAATGCATGTATTGAATTGTGATGCTCAATAATATTCAACTAATTCAAAATTATAATTCACTTTTAGTTTTTCTTCATCAGAACAACTTTGATGCCGCAGATATTGCTTTGAAGATTAGCATCCAGCTTCTTTAAAAAATGTAAACGTACTTTATTCGGCGCATCTTCAATTATAGTCTGACCACACCACCAGATATGGCTTCAGAACGAAATGTGAAGCCGTTATCAGAAAGACTGCCTACATAAGCACAAACATAATTCCGCACAACACTTTCAGCACGAAAAACGCCAAAATATGCTTTGCACGTTAAACATCCAAGTTAACAATATAATTTGTTGTGATATAATACAATACAAATATCATCTTATTTTTATATTCACCTGATAAGTATTAATTTGAACTGTTTTTTTTTTGTATAAACGAAAACAAAGAAAAGAAAAGAAAGAAAATTGCTACTCACGTATTTGTTTCTGAGGCCACACTCTATATCTTGGCAGAAAATGTTGCGTATTCATGGACGGATGCCTGTTCGTTATAGGAGCAGAGAACGGCCACTGGTGCATCGTTGATATTGGAATAGGTCTTACTGCACTTGATCTGTGAGTAGATTGTAACTTTGGAATAAAGTTGTGTATACCTACATTAACTGGGGAATGTCCTATCGCTCGCTGTGCCGGTCGAGCCACGCTATTGATTTGCGATGACCTTAGATTTGTTGGTACGTTAGCAATATTGCTACCCATACGGTTGTGCTTTAATTGTTTGGCTTTCAGCAGCTGTAATAACAACTGGTACTTATTATTTCGAAATTGTGCAGGCCTTTCCTTGTTCGTAGAAACTGATGAAGAATGTCGTTGCGGTATTGTTGATCCGTGCTTCCTTAATTTTACTGAACCAATTTCCGATCTCTCGGATATTTGACTTCTTCCTCCCAAAGGCGATTTCGTAATGGTGGTCCTTGTTTTCTTTTGTTTCCTAATTTTAGGAGCTGTTGATTTCTTCTTGAGTCCAAATAATTTCTGTCTTGCTTTCAGTATGTTAATGATTTTCTGCATATCGATTTTGCTAGGTTTATTTGACTGTATTTGGGCAGGGCGTTGTAGCATTTTTTCTTTTTTGATCACTGGTGGAAAAGATTTTTGGAATCTAGTATGAGCGTTTTGTTTTGAAAGTAATTCTTTCCTCTTATTTGCTTTAAGAATTTTTGCCAAAGCGTTCCATAATGATTTTGAAATATCTTTCCTAGGCTGTATCATTGAGGACTGGTCGCCGGGAGCATGAAATCCTTGCTGATTTGATATGCTTTTCCTGAAACCAGATTCTGTTGGAAAACGCGCACTTGGAATGCTATTCTTTCGTTTGGCGACACGTGCAACCTGTTGGAATGGATTGATATTTATTTGCCCAGCGGCAACGGGTTTGACAATTTTCGTTTTCGACAAAATGCTACGATTGGGTTTAGGTGCAGTATGATTAGGCGAATTTATCGATTGCGTCAACGGTTTTGCTTTGGTACTGAGTTTGTGATTATCATCTTTAAAAATTCCGTCGAGAATTTCATTTACATCAAATTTTGGAGGTTTGTGGTTTCCATGTTTTGATTCATCATCGGGAGATAATCCCATAGCAAGGACAGGTCCACTAATTTCGATCTCTCCATTTGGGGGTGGGTTCTCAACAGGACCAAACAAAACGGGCCCAACAAAAAATCCATCTTCACTATTTATGTCACCAGGTGCAGACATAGGATTGATAAATGGAAGTGGCGGTTTTTCTCCACTAGTCACGGAACCATCAAACATTTGGGCAATATTAGGAAGAAGAGGCATGTGAGGGTTTGGTGGGTGTGCGTGGTCTTTAGGTGACATTTCCGGTACTGCAGCAATAGGTACTACAGCGTTTGTGATAGGATCAAGAAAATGAAAAGCCGCGTTTGGGTCAGAAGGTTGTTGACTCGGAGGTGGTGGTATTTCTCCAACGCGAACAGAAGAAACCGATCCAACGCGAACAGCATTTTTCTTGTCGCCTACAACGGCGGCTATTTCCGGAATCGGGTCAATGTGTGTTTTAACGTTTGCTACAGCATGCTCCCAGGCACTGTGGGCATTTCTTAAAACATCTGACGAAACATTATGGAATGGGTTGACTGGTTTATGCGTTTCAGGATCGAAAAAGATTGAATTGGTATTAACAAGAGTTCCATTTTCGGTTTCTTTGTGTTTTTCTATCAACGGAACTCGAATGTTCGAATGTTCTTTTCTTTTTTCTCCTGTCGTAGGGTCTGAAAATCTTGTTAAGATATTAACATTTTTGGATGTTTTAGGTGTCTTGAAAAAACGTAGCTTTGCACTTTCCCTGTTCGATTCTTCTATATGATTTTCCAAATTTCGAGTTGCAATAGGAACATTTAGCATTGGATTTCTCGTTAGATCTTGAGATAAATCCAAGTCTGCCCCACTAAGCGAACTGTCCAGTCCCATATGACTTCCAATGGCAAAGTTGTGTGGTGTGTGTTCATGGTGTTCATGAGGTCCAGCATGTCCAAAATGAGAATGAGAATTTATGTCAGGAGACAGGAGTTTTCGTCTTATTGCTTTTTCGTCTAATGTAATATGATTTGAGCTGTGCTCCATATGCAAATTGTTAGGATCATGGAACAAATGCTTGTGAAGAGTTTCCTCGAATGTATGTTGTTTGGTTCCATGTTTATGAACGTTGCCATTGTTGTCTTTGATTCCGCTACCTCCTTTGGCTGTGGCTAAGACATTTTTTACATGAGAAGGACTTATTCGGTCTGGATCTGCTGACGAAAAATCGTTTATACTACCTATAAGCGCATGAGTAAGACCTGGTTCGTGCGATAGAGGGTCAATATCATTTAACGGTTTCATTACAGTCGTACCTCCGTTAAGGCTAATTAAGGCTTCTCTAATTTGGTGTAACAGCGCTTTGCGTTCTAGATTTGGATCAGATGAAGTTGATAACTGTTCGGAGCCTATGAGATCCGCTGGTGTCGAGCTAGTTATTTCAGATCTGGATCCCAAAATACTGTTTGCATTTACCCTTGATTTCATTTTTGGAGATCTGTGCATGGTGTTCACAAATGTGCTTGTACTTGGTGCATGTATTGAAGTATGTTTAAAAACTTTACTCCCGTGACCAGTTATAGAATTGGTCATATCATTTTGTTCTCTCTTCTGAGAAAGGACGTCCTTTGCTTCAAGATCCGAGTTCGATTTCACGTCTGTAGAATGTTCCGTTTTGTCCAATAGATGTTGAGGAATATCCGGTTCAATTGGATGTAAAATTCCTTCATGGAGATGTTCCTGTGGAGGAATAAGGTCATGTGGACTAGGAGAAACAAAAAAACGGCGCTTGGAATTAGATGGCGATAAACCAGGTCTTCCGAAGTCTTGTTTCCGTGCATCATCAAAAGATGGTTTCTTTAAGTCTGTGAATGAAGCTTCAGGAAGACCGCCGAAAGGGGGACTTTGATTGATTTCCTCATGTTGAAACCCGTTGCCGTCACTGGATGCTAGCGTCGGTGGAAGAAGTAGAGGGTCAAAGTTTGATTTTGGAGGCGATTCTACTTCCACAGTTTGATCAATGGGCTCTGGTATTGCAGTTTCGTATGTGTCGTTGGTTGATAAGTCATTATTCTGTTCGTTCAGTTTCAAAATGCCCAAAAGCGACTGTGGTATTGATTTTTTTGTTTCACTTTGAACTGATGAAGTATTGTTTAATAATCCAGAGGACTCAGAAACGTTCGGTGATGACGTCGATGTGACCGATATCGTGTTTGCAGCTTGAATTTCGTTTTCTAGATTTACGGTTTCTTCGACAAAGTCGTTATCGACGGTCTGTTTTTCTATGTTAGTACTGACTGCTTTTTCGGCAGGTGCAGTGTTATTTGCTTCAGTGCTTATTTCAGGACTAATTATCTGTTTTCCAGGTGAATTGTCTTGGTCTGTTGATACTTCAAAATTGGTTGTTTGCTTGCTTTCTGCAGTGTTGACCGTTTCATTGACAAATTCAACATTGACAGGTTGTTGACCTTCATCTGCACTGATACCTTGATGTGAATGTTCTGTATTTTTCAAAATCGTTGGAAGTGAAGTGGAAGGCACAGTTGCATTTTTTTCTTTTCCTGTCTTGCTGCTTTCAGTAAATTCCCTGACTGAATTGGAAGTAGGTTCACTCTTAAGTTTCCATGGGTTCCAACTAGCAAAGAATCCTTTTGAATGAGGCTTCTGTAGATCGTTGTCTGTTGGGAGCTCCATAGGTTCGTCATTGATAAAAGGGTCTGATGTAGGTTTACTTTGTTTTGTTGGTGGTGTTTTAGTTGTGATGTCTAAAGAATTCGATGTTGATTCCGCAATATTTCTATCAGTGGGCACGTTTACATTCGTTTCTTGTCCTTTAAACCAAGCCGGGGAAACATCAGATTTCAGAGGATCAACCCATGCTGTCCATCCTCCGACTGTACTAGGTGTTGCTGGATTCTGAACTTTCTTATCAGTTGTTTGAAGATGGAAGCTCAGCGTATCGTGTGGCTCTGTATTTAGGCTCACAGTATGCGTTGTACTAGGAGTACTACTCACATCTAATAACGTTGCAGCTGTAGTCTTTAGAGTCCCATTCAAATCTGAGATTTTTTTCTTTTTCTTTGTCACTTGCACTGCATTTGTCGATATCTCGGCCATCTTCATAGGTCCTATGCTAGATCGTATTATTGTGCTTTCCGTCCATGTGTGTTTGGGAGTCAGTTCCACTGCGGCATGCACCCATGGGAGGTCTGGTTCATTCATATATATATCTGCCTTTTTCATTGGTGCACTTTTCAATAACTTGTTTCCATTTGGACTTGATATCACTGCACCAGGAGAAAGCGAATTTCCATTCATACGTTTTTCGATTACCATATCAATTCGATCACCAACTTGCCTTGGATCTGACTTCACCAGGTTTTTCCAGTCCCTGGTACGACCTGGAGACACGCGACTTTTCTCTTTCTTAGCACTAGTCAACCTTTCCACCATTTCTTGAGATGATATAGAAGTACTAAGAAAATCCACACCTGACGGTAGGGGTGCATATTTGTCTTTTTTACTTGGGTCTGGTGGTTTTTCCTGCTTTGACACTTTCTTTGGCTTTTGAACGTCAGTAACACCAAGTAAATCTGATGTCGGGGCAACTGGAAACTTACTTTTTAAGGCTTTGTTCTTCTGATTTTCATTTTGGGTTTGCGCCAGACTTTCTCTTAATATTTCCTTAGGCAAACTTAAACCGTTGCTTGCATCAGAATTTTTTACTCCAAACTGAGTTAATCCCATTAGCGTGTCATGCTGCTCTACGATAGCTACGTCTTGCGGAACCATCAGTTGACCTGAGGATGATAAACAATATATAGGACTATGCTAAAAACGTTTCAACATTTCTTCACTTATAAATTTGCATTAGCAAAAGCACAGTAGAGGAATTAACCTATTCATTTGTCTATAATTGATCAATGAAGAAGAATAAATGCAACACTGACGATAAATACTATTGGGAAACAAATCCTTCTGCAGATGCTTTGATTTAATCAAATTAGCAAAGAGTTGGAACGTAATAATTTGAAAATAACAAATTAGCGATCCTGGAACACACTAAAACCACCTCGCAATTGGCTTATATCTTTATTTTTTCGCATAGTAGTTGTTTTGTTTGATTAACTATTCAAATAATAACGGTTAAATAGTCGAACATGAAGAAGCTTATATGTACGTGTGTAATCCTGTTAAATATTAGGAGCCTAAATTTTGAAATCTAGGAGGCGACTGAGGAATACCAAAATTGATATCAAAAGACAGGAGAGAAATGAATTTGCAAGCAAAACACATTCATAACCATCACACATTGTGCGTTATTTTTCAAATAAAGTTCTATTCTGAAGTTAAAGTACGTTTATAATTATTCTACAGCATATATTAATTCCCGGGATACTTCTACTCTGTAGCTATTCTACCTTACATATACGTGATATTTAACATGAAAGAAATTCCATCATTAAACATTCTTTAAGAGATATTGTTATCGTTAGCAGTGTTGTTTGATATTTCTTTGGTTTAACTTATTTTATGTAACCTGCATGCCATTTTGAGACACATGAGAATTGCTAAATTTATTGAATCTCTCTATCTAGAACTGCAAAACTTTGCGACATCTTGGATTTTTGTCAGTTACCTGCTAGTTTCAAAAATATGGCTCAAAGCATCACTAACGACTCGTAGAAGGACGAAACAGTTTTATGAATACAGCTCAATTCATAGTCCAATTTTAATAAATGTAGCATCCTTTTCATCTCAATAGTTTGTTATTGTCTCAAAATGTCAATGTTCTCAAAAAGCTGATTTTTATTTCCAAAATAATATCTTTAGCCAAATATTTTATCCTTTGCTATCGATCAATATAGGAAATTTCCACAGGTATCAAGCAAGTATCGTTAGTTCAACGTAACATGAAATAAATATTTGTATCTACAATGGATATGTATATAAAGCGAAAAATGCATATAAAAAGGTTCTTACCATGTATCGCGCTGGAGGCAGTCAGAAGAATCACGGCTACAAGGACTTCCATATCAGCTGAAAATAAAAGAAAGTTTCATAAAACTATCTTTCAATATCAAGATTAAGATACAAATAGCGCTAACACATGCTGACAAAACCGTCTGAAAAAGTAACGCCCAAATAGAATATAATAGGTGACACCATGTATTTCTTAAGGATAAACATTCGTTTCATCTCGAGGGAGACTTTTCATTTACGTAACATACAGTTGTATATTAATTGAATTTAAATGTATTAAAACATGTGTTTTCTTTTACTTTGACATAAAACTAACCCATTGTGTTAATATTGTCTCAGCCAGAGTTCACTATCTTCAAGAATGGACAGCTTCCAATTAAATCCTTTTCAAATGACAAGAGCAATTAACATTGATATACACTGTCATCTCTTTCATATAACTTTATCAATGACATGGTCTTTTCATTCATATATTCCTTGCCATCCAGTTAGACAATTCCTATGTTTAAAAAATCCAAGTGTGTTTGATAGGCTTTGTTGATTTATGAATAACGCGCTTCATTAGACAAGGATTTGGGTCAATAAACAGGTTTTATTAATGTCTACATCAATAGCATAAAAAACACCAATTACAACAGTCCGGTAAATAAAATCCTATAAAATCCTATCTCTGGTGTTATAATAATGTCAAATTAAATAAATTTCTAAGTGTCACGGAAAATGTCTAGAACATTCCGTTACGCTTAAAAAGCTTTGTAATAGAACATGAAATATGAAATGTCACTGTTAGAAGTCAAGATATTGAAATGATGGGGTTAGATCTTTACAAGTAGCCCTGTCATGTTCGTGTTCTTGTCCTACGGAAATAAATCTGACAGCGATTTCAACTGATGTGACAGTTCTGAAGAGGACGATTTACGGCTCACATATATCTATAATGACTTTCTCTATACTTAACTTATGTCAAATAGTCATGTCTTCGTATTGAACCGGTGTATTAAATCCGCGTCACTCGATGGTATCGTAAATGCACTAAATGACACTGTCTGCACTTTTCACAATATGTGAACACATTTCTCATAATAATAATTTGCAAAATATGAACATTATCATACATATTCATTTTATCAGGAGTCTAACATGTACCTGTAATATATGGATTCAAATATATAGATATAGATTATACGTAATGATACCAACATTCAACTAAAAACTAGAATAACAGTACGAAAATTTTCATTTAGTTATAATATTAATTGGTGAACAAAATTATTATTATTATTTTTTCTAAAAACCCAAAAAATCATTTACTTAGAATTCCTAAGCCACAATCCTGAAAGCACGAGTCCAGTTTTGGAAAATTTATTGGATACGTGGGTTACGAAGCCACGTGTACGAAAAGTTAAAATTAAAAGTAAGACACACATACAGAAAAGATTGATTTACTTGGAGCATTGAATTTAATTATTAAGTTTAATTTAGATTACAAGAGAAAGGACTATATTTTTTGTCAAAAACGAGAGAATAAAGTATTTCATTATCTCAAAGCATAACGAAAAAAAAAACGGAAATCTGAACTTTGAAAGAAAGTGGTTAAAAACTATTTCTCTAGCGTAAAGGGCGATAACGAGCGGAACCTTGATCCGTAAAACGAACTTCAGGCACAGTGACAACAATATCAGGAGGATGTAGAAAAGTACAGCCTGTCTGTGGTTTCATAGTAAGAGATACCGCATTGTAGATATACATACCTAGTGTTCTTGTTCGTGTTAATCCAGTCTCTATAATCCCCCGTTATAATACTACAAGTGGATACGGAATGTCAGAACCCTTAGATGAAGTTACAATAGCTGCTGCCTCTCTGAGGTTCGAAACGCGAAGGAGCATCAGTATTCATAAATGTCCTATGTGTAATTGACAGCGATATCAATTACGAAATATACACTCCTTCAGAATTTCTAATCAGGTGGCATAAGTGGTCCTGGTCCATCATGTTAACTGCAAACTGCCATCACTTTGGACATAGTGAACAGTGAGTTACGGCTGACTGACTCTATCAAAAGAATCCTGATGATAAAATATTCTTTAGAAAGGATAATTAATGTCAGATGTGATGAAGTGATGTTCGAATACTAGTTGTAACTCAGATGTTGAAACTAATTAAACCTTTGTCTTGGCCCACAAGTTGTTAACCTACATAGTTATTGTAACACAATTACATGTCGGTGAAATGTAAACATGAAATGTTCTATGAACACATATCTCAATCACTTTCTCCTTGACCTGCTTTAAAAAAACGGCCCGCTCTTTCTATCATTATATTATGAAATATTTAAATCTAATATTTAATAATTCAATATAATGAGTTTTATTACATGTCTACAAAATGTGGTTAGAAAAGTATGGAGAAATATAAAGATCTCATTATCAAGTATTTATACATGTATGAGAAATGTGTCAATATATGTACTTTTGGTCCATCACAAAGAATCATTTAAAAAAAGGACAATGCATCCGACACATTTGTTTTTATCTTAAAAACTTATTTCTAGCATAGGGTAATGATAGAAAAAGTTTATTCTACGTGTTAGTAAAACTATTATACTGGATAATAAAAATATACATTCGTACGGAAACAAGACATTCCACAGTGTGAAATGTTAAATTTCAGAGAAAAAGAAAAAAGAAAAAAAAGAGGAATACTTTTAGTCTGTTCGCTGTTAATGTTTCAAACGGGAAGAAAATATATCAAATCGGCAATGGTTTTGTGATGCATTCTCCATATCCCCTATCCCAAATAGATAGCACACTGTATCGTGAAAAAGACTTATTTTTCTAATCACAAATCCGGGACTTCATTATAACAACATTTGAGAGTACTGCTTAAACAAATTAATGTGAATAGCCTCACTTTACAAATTTACACTTGTCACAAATGTTCCTGTTATGAACACGACTAGTCACTTTCAACTAATAAATCGTCACCAAAGTCGCTGATGATGTCACTACAATACAAATTAGACATTCAACCTGGAGTTATTCATGCATCTTAATTATTTACGTACTTTGTATTACTAACCATGCAGGGAAAGATTATTTCTGTAACATCTTTATGCCGATTCTTGCCTTCGACGATTTACACTCGTGATCAAATTAATCAACTCGTGCAACCGGCTGACCAAATTGAATCCTTTTCCTTTCCTATATACCCGAATATTATGACAACAAAGCTGTCTGTAGCCGCTGAAAACTGCCAGTTTAAAGTATGTCATGGAATGCACAGTTTCTCTGTTCATATGAAATATATATTTTATTCTACAGCATTCTCCTTTTGTGTGAAATATTATCAATTATCTTTTTATAGTAATACATCATGTCTACTAAAAATATGTAACATGAAGTAATAATTCGCACAGACAGACAATGTCTATCTGGTCACATGAAGAGACATTTGTGTTTTCACTGGGCAATTAAAGCATTTACTTATGCAACAAATTATATGATTATAAAGGTAAACCTAGAACATTTCACTTCCAGTATATTTCTTTAAGCATGTTGGTGGTAGTACTAAAGCATAAAAGGGCTTTGATTCACCAAACCATCCTAGCAGTTCATTTATATACGATCAATACTGCGTTGTCTACATAGTGTCTTTAAGACATATAGAGATAATAAAGAATACATATTCTTTCACTTTTAAAAAATAAGTGCTTCTTATGCTTATCATTTACAGTGATAATTCACTATTTTTGATAGGAATTTAACACAAACCTTTAAATGTTTATCAGTTCACGTGATTTACAATGAAAGAAAATACTTCATGAATCTGACCTGAAAACTATAACTGTTTCTACCCTATAAACATGGACATTTTAGCAAGAAAACATCGAAGAAAAGTTTTTTGACATGACTGTTCTGAATGTGTAAGATGCCAGGTGTTATATACAAGCTCAATGTAGACAATATAAACATCGACAAAAATAGCATATATAAGTGATAGGTTGAACAAGTATATCGACAAACATTCCTTACCAAGTTTTTCATTCACAGGAAAATCTACCTAGGATTGAAAATCCTATCCAGCAACATGCCCGTTCTATAATATTCCCTAGTCTTAAGCCAATCCATACATCTAAAGTAGAAAGGGGTATTTTTAGTGAAGATTAGTGGGACTTACCACAATACTTGGAGTAAAATGAATAGTCCCAATAGTGTTCTCTTAAGACGTAATCTTTAGTCAACACGACCCAGCACAATATGAAAAGTAAAGGAATGCTTCCGGTAAAAATCCCTTTCTGTGTAATTCATTAGGCACTGCAACCCACCACATTTCTTAGAGTAGAAGGAATACTAATGGCCAGGTACATTATCTTACCATGTAATTTCCAAGGCAGCAAGACCTATTAAAATGCCTAGAATAGATTCACTGGAAAACAGATTATGAGTAAGAGGTGCAAAATTATTATTTTAAAGATAACATGGTTTAATAGCGTGACGTTAATAGTCAGTTTAAGCAAACAGTCGGCAATCAGAAAGTCAAACCAAAACGTATAGTCAATCAATACTAAAACTTCGATAAGTATATCATTGTTCTTTTCATACTTAGAAACTGGCTCTTTTTAAGTGTCCTATGAAGTGTTCAATTAAAATATATAGGATCCGAAATCAATTTTCATTTTGTATGAGATCTTACAAAAGAAGAAGTCGATTCTTATGAGTAGGAGCAAAAATTAAAACTACGAATCGACTTTAAAAATATATCATATGAAAAAAAATGTCTAAGATATTTTTATCGGGTAACGCAGAAAAATAATATTTTGACAGGTCTTTAAATCAAAATGTGGACGCAAAAATTCAACTGAGGCAGCCATTTTGTTGTACCATTTCCAATTCATGATTTTACTCATTAACTATATCATGACATCACAATAGTATTCTGATAGGCATAACCAATGAGAAACGCTCCAGGGTACATTACAGTAGTAACATATACAAAAAATAATAGATGGTCAAATTCACTGGATAACAGACCTATAATATGATAAATTATGATATATGTGTGTCATCATTAGTGAACAAAGATTAGCTAATTGATTTATGAAGGATTCAGTTGTCTCCTATTCAGATGACCTTTCGCTTGACTTTTGACATGTTCAGGTGCAATTCGTGTAACCTAAAGCACTTTTGTGACTTTCAAGATAGAGAAAACATTACGGTTCAGTTCTTTGCATATGGCATTCTCTGCTCAAAGACTTCCTTATAACGAAAATGATGGTAAGTAGTGAATGTTTACTGGTTTGAGTCATGATAACATAGATTG